TTTGCTGTATGTCGGACGCTGTATTCAACCTCTGTATGTGTGTCAGTATATTTCATTACAATAGCTTTATAATCCTATCCATTTACAGAGGAGGGGAGTGAGGCACAGAGAGGTGATAACTTGCCCAAAGTCACACAGCCATAAAGTGGGGGAATCCAGGCCACGCTCTAGAACTGGAACTGTTGACACTGTGGACTGGATAAGTCTGTCTGTGGGGGCTGCTCTGGGCACTGTAGGATGTCTAGCTGCACCCCCAGCCTCTACCCACTAGATGCCAGCACGTCCCCACGCCAGCTGAGACAACCAAAACTGTCCTCTAGACAGTGCCCCCCATTCCCTGTAGGACACAGTTGCCCCCTGTTGAGACCGACCAGCCTAAGCTGCTGGCTTTTCTCCTGACCCCTTGGCTGGGCCACTTCCCGGATTGTGGACTGTCCAGGGGTCCCTTCCCCACACCCTCGGAGCTAGACAGCAAGTTCCGCGATACCCTAGTCTGGGGGCAGCTCCGTCTCCCTCCCCCACCCACCCGTGTGGCATTACTACCGTCTGGTGCACTGTGTCTGTCTGTGTCACTGGATAGGAACCAAGTAGACAAAGAGCCCACTGCTGGCAGCGTAGGGGAGCGTGGCCCGTCTGGCAGGCCCGGTCACTGACCCTGTGACTCTCTCGCCCCACCTTCCTCCCACAGAGCCAAGGTGAAGAAGGGGGTGAACATCCTGAGCACCCGGCCCAGTGAGCCCCGGCAATGGGACGCCAAGCAAGAGCTGGGAAACGGCGGCAAGCACGCCACCACCACCGTGGTGTGCCAGCGCCTGGGGCCCAGCGCACGCAACAGGTAGGTGCCGCCTCCCCCTGCAGGCGCCACACGGGGGGCTGGCGACCCCGTCTCCGCCTAAGAGGCGTGACCGAGACTCACATTCACTGCCGCTGAGCTGAGCTATGAAAGCCTCGGCCTGGAAATCCGGGGCCCTGGCACCTGCAGCCCCAAGGGCAGGGCGCTGACTCGGAGGGTGTGTGGTCGGTCGGGGCTTCAGAGCAGAGACGCGTCGGCCACACGCTGCCCTGCTTTGCCCAAACTCATGCCTTCCCTCCACCTGCACGAATGTCCTGGGGGCCATGTCACCTCCCAGCGCCCTGCCTCGGGGGTCACAGGCGGCTTTCTAGAAAATGTGCATCCTTCACACAAGGGGTTGGACTTAGCGGGCGGGGGAGGGGGATTCAAGTCAGGAGGTGACAATCGGTGGCAGTAAGGAATCAGGACGGGCTGTGGGAGATCCTACTTAGACATCGGAGTGATTATTTAAAATCATTGCTTTCTGTACATAAAATCAACGCTTACTCATTTTAGACTATTGGGAAAGCTCAGTTATACGCGGCAAAAAGAGTTAAACATATAAAACCTCTACCGCCCAAGGTCGCCACTGCTAACGCGTCATTTCCTTCCCGTGTTTTATGGAAATAGCGTCGGTATATAGTGAATGTGAAGCAGATGCATTTATTTTACAAATTTGGTATCAGAACCTACATACAGATTTTTAAGACACTTTCACTTAGATCTTGATTATATTGAAAACATCTTCTCTTAACATTAAATACTCCTCAGACTTTTTTTTTTTTTTTTAGCTGAGCCTGTTGGCAGCTCAGCTCGGGCTGGGAATCGAACTGGCGACCCTGTTGCTCAGAGCTCATGCACTTGAGCAAGCTCTTAACCAACTGAGCCACTTAGCCAGCCCCCCTCTGACATTTTTAATGGCTGAATACTATTTCATCATACAGATTTACTGTTACATAACTAACCGTATCTGTGGTTTTGAACACTTAACGTTGTTCCCAAGTTTTATTCTCAGAGAAAACCGAGCAGTATACTTCCTTCCACATACATCTTTGTCTACTCCTCCTTTTGCTTAAGGTGACTTCCTAGAATCAGAAACTTTCATCATTGTTCAGGGCCCTTGATAACATTCGCTCAGTGTATTTTCTGGAAGGATTAGCACTGAAATTAGCACGCATTTTCTCAGGCATGCATGACAAGGCTGCCAGTTCTCCGCTTTGCTGAGGCGCCCAGCTCTTTAGGCCCCCCCACACGCAGCCCTACCTTTCATGTTCAGCCAGAAGAAACATCTGGCGGCCCGAACAGCGCGCTGGCTCAAACACGAACCTTCGCCGTCATTACCCCAGAGGGATGATCCGTACATCTGAGGGGTGAGGGTTGGGGGGTCCCAATGTTGCATCCCATGAAAAAAAATGGCCAGAAAAATAAAAAAAGATAAAAAGCATGCCTGGCTGCAAATTGAACCTCCCTTGTCAAATGCACATAAAGTCTAATTACCCCACCCAATTAGTGATGATTATGCAAATGAACGTGGCTGTGTTAATTCCCAGACAGTGAATTTGTGTATGTCAATAGTTCCTCATGTCATAACCAGGAGGTGTCTCCACGTGAGGGGGATAAGCCTGGCTGGTGACTTCTGAACAGTCCTAGTGGCAACCCTGGCTTCCCTGCGTCTTCCGGAGACTCGTCTTTGAGCTCAGCTGTGTTTTTGAGTGTAAGCACCATGCCTGGGTTTCCACTGTCAGTCGTGCTGGGATTTTTAGCAGAGGGAGCTGGGATTCCCAGCACATGTTTCCTTCTTTTCAGCTTTAGAGTTTGCGCTGCCGGGAGTTAGAAGCCTTGGTACAGGCTGTGTGTGTGTGTGGGGGGGGGGGTTTGGCCGCGGTCCGCACACTCTCTGGTTTTAATGTGGTGTCTTAGAAGTAGCGTTGGCATGTGCAGGAGAGGCTGTCCCCCAGGGCTGGTGTCAGGGCGTGCTGCGTCGGCTCCGTGCCCGCTGTGACAGCTGGCTGGATGGGGCTCGTCTCTTCCCAACTCCTCATTCAGTGGCTGTCAGGAGCTTGAAATTGGCTCAGAGCAGTATTTACACCACAGAAAGTGGCAAACGCCCCAAGTCGGGCTTTTGGTTATTGTCGGGGAGCCTGTTTGTCCCACCACGGGTGGGCGTACCCTGTTCACACACTTCCTCACCGGGGTTTTCAGAAAGTGTGGGTTGGTCCACCAAAGGGAGAGCTGCGGTGCTCCATGCCAGACAGGTGTCCCCTGAGTCAGGCCCAGACGCCTAAACACTGCGGGGCACCTGGGGCCATTGGTGACATGGGAGGGGCAGGTGCCCCAGGGCAGGAGGCCTCACTGCCTTCCGCCTGCAGAGAAAAGGCCGTGCGTGCTTGTTATCTACCGCTGCAGAACAAAAGGCCCCGAAACTTAAGACGCTGAAAACAAAGCATGCTTATTATATCCTGGTTTCTGGGGCTCAGGGATCCAAGCGCATTATCACGGGGTCTTCCCCTCAAGGTTCTTTCACAGGCTGCAGTGACGGTGTCGGCCAGGACCCGTGGTCTCATAGAAAGGCCCACCTGGGGAAGGGTGCGTGTCCAGGCTCACGGGCCCAATGGATTCAGCCCTGCAGGGTTGAGTTCCGCCAGGATGGCCGGGCCATGCCCCCCGTTTCTGGTTCCTTCTCTATCAGGGCGCCTGTGAGAAGCCCCAGGAAGAAGGAGAAAGCCAGGAAGCGGAAGTCACAGCATCTTACAACCTGACCTTGCAAGTGACATCCAAACGCTTGCTATGTTCTGTTAGTTAGAAGCAAGTCTGGGACGCACTCCAGGGAAGTGGGGTACAGAGAGGGGTGACTGCCAGGAGAGGGGATTGTTGGGACTTATTTTAGCCTCCTATCTCATCGGGACAGCTTGTCCAGGCCGTGGAGGGCCCTGTGGCCACTGCCTGTGAACAGAGGGAGGGGAATTACAGCCCAGTCATTGAAACCGGCACCCCCTTAGCTGGATACCACCCATCCGAGTCTCCAAACCTATTTGATTTTTTTTAATTTAACTTAAACCCTTTGACCGCAAGGGAATTTCTTGTCGCTGTCTGTGTTCGTGAGTGTCCTGAGTTGCACTAAAAGGTGACGATCCCAGCTGGTTTAAGCAGAACAGGAATTTATCCAAAGGAGATTGCCGGGAAGGCTGTAGAAGACGTGACAAATGGACGACATCGGGGAATCTCCGCCAGAGCCAGGAACGCGCACGCCCCAAGTCATCCGTCATCGCGTGCCCCTCAGCCCGCTGTTCATTTAAGGGTTTTCTTTAAATCAGCTTTAAGTTGGTCTTGGTTTTAAAGTCACCCTCATTTTTAGTGATAATATCCTCTAAGTGAAACATTTAATGTACTTTTATTATTTTCTGATGCGCAGTACAATGAGCACAAAACTATAAGAGTTACTTTAAGCAAGCATCTTTGGTGATTGGAACAGGGGCATAATTTATGCTCATTCCGTATTCTTGGTCATAACAGGAGTCGCCCAGTGTGTGGGCGCTGCCCTGCCAGGGAGGGTCCCCTCAGGTCCCTGGGAAGGCTTCTGTGCACCTGTGTGGGTGTATCAATCTGCTCAGGCTGCTGTGACAGATACCACAGACGGGGGGCCTATACAGTGGGAGCCGATTCTCTCCCCATTCTGGAGCCTGGAAGTCCAAGATCAAGGTGTTGGCAAAGCTGGCTTCTTGGGGAGACCTCTCTTCTTGGCCTTGCGGCTGTATCCTCCCATGGCCTTGGTGTGTACTCGGGGGTGAGGGTTGGGGGGAGGGGAGACAGCTCTGGTGTCTCTTCTTCGTAGAAGGACACCAGTCCTATCAGATTAGGACCCCGCTGTTACAACTTCATTTAACCTAAATTATCTCTCTAACAGCCCTCTCTCCTAGTACCGTCGCATTAGGGGGTGAAGTCTTCAGCTTAGGAGTTTTGGAGTCGGGGCACGCAGGTCCGTCCACGTCAGCGGGCTCTGCTCTAACACTCCACACCTGCACCTTTCACAGGTCCCTCTGGCCCACTCTTGAAGATTTTTGGAAAGCCCTGGCGGTTTCATCCTCCTGGGGTAGTCCTTGAAATGATGATGGGTTTGAAGTATGAAAGCCTGTATCCCCCTCCCCCAGTGCAGATGACACTGAATTGTCATGGACATCCCAGAGCTCCCAGAGGGTCAGAACAGGTGGGGACGGTTCTCTCCCTCTCCCTCTCTAGGTTCTCCTGGAAGACCTACCTGTATCAATCACTTACAACCAAATCCTTATCCTAGGGTCTGAAACCCACCTGAGTATCTCAGGAACATAGGAGGCCCCTGCTTTATTGCCTGGGGAACTGGCCCTCTTGGATGTCCACATCCAAGAGGAGTGAACTTGTTAGGAAGACTGTACAACAAGACAGCTGTTCGGGTGGCGCACTTTCTCCCTGGAGCCCAGACCCTCGGAAAGACCCCTGGGCTTATGGTCCCGAAGCCATCTGTTTGTAAACCCTCAAGCCCAGGAAGAGAGCTTGCAGCCTGTCTGCGTCCACACACACACACACACACACACACACACACACACACACACGCACCCCAGATTAATATTTTAGCAGCCCGAGCATCTCAGCAATCACGCAGAGTCAGCTAGCAACCTACTAGGTTGTATTTCATACTTACAGGGCGTGAGGCCAACAGGGCAATTAACAGCCTGTCTAGATCCCCCACATCAGCGCTCCGTGACTCTGAGTAAATCCAGCATGGAGAAAATGCCCCTGTGACCACCGGGAAGGAACTGAAAGGGCGCGGACGGCACGTTCCAACGCGGGAACCCATTTGGGGTCCTGTTAGTGTACGTTCCCCAGGAAATATCTCCTCACCCTTTCGTCTCCCTTCCCCATTCCGAATCTTCCATCAAAGCTGGGGAGCTGGGCTAGTCTGAGCAGCTGGGGGACCCTTGGGCAGGAATTTCATTAAGCCTCTGAGGTGACCCCAGCCCAGAGGGAGG